AGGCATGCCTCAATAGAGCATCTGTCCTCTGGAAGCACCAATAGGACAGCTGACAAAATCCGTTCTGCTGCTTTCTCCATGGCACAGCAGTGCACAGCTGTGAGGGTTAACTGCACTAACGGATTCAGTGTCAACACCCAGTACATCGATGAATGAACCCATGCATTTACATGCATTTACATAATATTGTTACCTAGTCCTGCTTTAGCTTTTTAGTGGTGTCGTTGCTGAAAGAAAAATGGAAATATCGGTTAATTAAAATGTACGCTCACTGACCACTTCATTAGGAACACGTTTCTTATTCTGCTCAGGCGCCACCTTTGCTCTCAGAATGTGAATTGTTCATGAAATGGACTCAACAATGTGCTGGACTCTTTCTTGATCCTGAGATACTGGTTCATGTAGACATGATTGCATCATGAATTTGCTGAACAATTTGCTGGTTGCACTTTCAAGCTGCAAATCTCCCATCAATCAAAAGATGCTCTGTTGGACTCAGTTCTGGTGACCATGGAGGCCACGGAAGTTCACTGAGCTCTCAGTCATGGTCATAGACGCAGTTTGAGATATGAGTTTTCTGACATGGCGTGTTTTCCTGCTGGAAGTAGCCATTAAAAGAAGCGTAAATTGTGGTCACCAAGGGATGCACTTGGTCAGCAACAATTGCCCAACTCAGACAGGCTGTGGTATTTAAATGCTTTATTGGTATTGGGGGACACAATGTGTGCCTAGAAATCATTCCCTATATCATTATACCATCACCACCAGCCTGAACTGTTGACACAAGGCAGGTTGGGTCCATGGATTCATGCTGTTTATGCAAAATCCTGACCTCACCATCTGCATTAGACAGCACAAATCAAAATTCATCAGACCAAGTGACATTTTTCCAACCTTCAACTGTCTAGCTTCCTTGAGTTTGTGACACTGTAGCCTCATTTCCTGTCCTTTGCTGAGGAGTAGAACCCGATGTGGCCTTCGGCTATTGTAGCCCATCAATCTCAAGATTCAACATGTTATGCATTGAATTCAGATATGGCTTTCTGGTCACCATTACTGTGAACAGCCTTGCTGTCATTTGAACTAGTTTGGCCATTCCCCTCTGACCTTTCTCATCAACAAACTGGAATTCACTGGATGTTCTTTACACCAGTCTCTGTAAACTCTAGATACTGTTGTATGTCAGAACAACAGTTTCTAAAATAGTCAAACCACCCCATATGGGACCAATAACCACTTACACTGCATTTTCCCAAATCTGATGTTCAGACAAACACACACACATACACACACACAGTCATGTAATCATATCTTTTTGGGGACCGCTCATTCATTTCTATGGGACAAATGCTAATGCTAACTATGACAACCTTAACCCCTACCTAGCCCTAACCATAGCCATAAGTAGTTTTTGCATTTTTAGTTTTTTCATTGCAGTCAAAGATTTTTATAAAATAGTTTTCCCATATAGGTACCAGGAAACCCATAAGTTTAAAAAAAAGGTTTACATCACGTTGTGTTTACCAGCTGTTTCGTGTTATTTCCGATTAGTCCTATGTATTTCAGTCCGTGTTCGAGCACGTTTCTCTAGGTCTGTCATTGAAGTCTTATGAAGTCTAATTGTGTAATGCTGCCTGTTTATTCCTGTTCCATCTCCCAGGCTCCTTTTTCCCATTAAATTCCGTTCTCCCTGATCCGTCGTATTCTTCTCCTGCTTCCTCTTTCCGTGCACCCAGCTACATCACGACAGAATGACAGACCTCCAAGAAAAGGTGCCTCACCTCATAGAAGAGGAGTACCTCGTCTTGACCGACGAGGTAATATATTGGCTGCGACAGTCCGAGATCTGAGACAATCCTGAGGTTTAGGCTTTAGCCAACCAGAGCAGGGACATGTCCCTGCCCGGAGACACACCTGGCAGACGATGTGCGCAAAAACCTCCAGGTGGCTTAGAGGAGTAGCAGCTGAAGCGATGATGCGACAGGTGGACATGGCCCCAGAGCTCGCTGAAAGCTGGGAAAAGGAAGAAAATGCAGAGTCTCCGAAAGCAGGAAGACCCACCGGGGATCTTCCTAGGGGCTACCCTGATTTATGCTGCTTCCACTGCCGGGTGTCGGGAGATGCCCCTCTCAATTCTGGACCCAGCGGTGTTCACAACAGGACATACCTGAAGCCCACATCGCTGCCGCTCAGCTGCCAGCTCACCGGCAGCTCACCCCTTCTGGAGAACATGCCTGGCTCTTAAAGGGGCCAGGTCGGTTGGGGATGCTATACCATGGGTCCCCAAGATCCCCAAACAGATGGCGCCGCTGCAGAGGTGCAAACCCCTGCTCCGCCCGAGGTTGATGTGCCCCCTGTGGTTTCTGCGCCGGTGGACGATGCTCAGTCCCCTGAGCTTCCTGCTCCGCCTGTTCCTGTTCAGTCCGCTGAGCTTCCTGCTCCGCCTGTTCCTGTTCAGTCCCCTGAGGTTCCTGCTCCGCCCGTTCCTGCTCAGTCCACTGAGGTTCCTGCTCCGCCCATTCCTGCTCAGCTCCCTGAGGTTCCTGCTCCGCCTATTCCCGCTCAGCTCCCTGAGGTTCCTGCTCCACTTGTTCCTGCTCCACTCGTGATTCCTGATCCTCCACCTCCAGTCCCCCCGGTTCTTGACCCTGCTCCCACAACACCAGCTCCCATGACCCCAGTCTCTGTCCCCAAGGAGGTCCCAGATTGTCTGACCACTGCTCCTGTCCCCTTGGGGGAAGAGGAGCTCGAATGGGATCCCTCGAGGATTTCCCTGATGGCCCCGCTGGACTCCTCTGGGGGAGTGACTCCTCCACCACCACCACAGCAGGACAAATCCCAGGCGAGTCCCCGCCTCTTAGTCTGCTGGAAAGGGAGGGGACACCTGTACCGAGGTCATGTCCCTCCCGCCCTGCCCCCTGGTGTGCCTTCGGTATAGATTTATCTACACCAGGGTTATTCAACTCATGGTCCTCAAGGTCCGAGCACTGCTGATTTTCCAGCCTTCCTTTACCTGTCAGTCAGGTGTGAAGCCTCTGACCAATCAGAATCAGTAATTATTAAACAACTACCTGGGAAAACTGAAAACACGGCCTTGGGTTTGGAATCGAGGTCCAGAGTTGAAGAACCCTGATCTACACCCTTCTGGCAGTGCTGCCATTGCAGTCAGGTCTCACAGACTACGAGGAGTAGAAGTAGTCCGACTTGGCTGCAGACAGTTTATACTCCACCCCTGCAGCCGCCGGCAGATCGCGCTCCACGTTGCGTCAGCTGCAGACAGACCTAAGCCCAAGTCGAACGCACCCATTGCTTCTTTCAGGGAGGATGGGCAAAATTACAACGTCATCGGTGATTGGCTGTTGTGCTGACGTTCAGTAAACCTCTGCTCGATAGGCCATCGAGTTGTCTGTCTCAGCACATTCTCTAAAACGGAGCAAATTTGGTTGATCGAGTTTTATAGTTTGTGTGTATCGTGATCCTTATTTTTTATCGATAAAAAATCGAGATCGTTTTATCACCCAGCACTAATAGCATAGTTATAATTCAATTAAATTAGGTATTTTACATTCATTAGAAAGCACAGTCTTGGAGGTACAAGTCAATCTGGAGGCTCATTCTCTTCAATTCAAAGCATAGGATCATTACATACCCGTATTCATAGCTTATCCGAGGCCTCTCTCCCTGGTATGAGACACTTAATATGAACATCTTTCTGGTACATCCCATCTCTTTCCCTTGACGAGGTCTGATAAAATGGTTATAGGAGAGGATTGCTGAGGATATTTTTCCATCAGGCCACGTAACTATGACAAATCTGGGAGATTTTAAATGAGAGACATATGGACAATATAATTGAAAAGATAAAATGAATTTGATTTAACGAGTAATGACACTTTACAGCAATGCCTTTTTTCTCTACAGTTGATCTGAGTAATGTGATGTCGATTCTAGCCCAAGTCTGTTTTCGGTCTTGGTCTTGACCAGTCTTGGTCTTGGTCTCGCCTTAGTGTGTCTTGGTCTTGAACTTGGTCTTGGTACCCTCAAGTCTCGGCAGTGTCTTGGTCTTGGTACCCTCCAGTCTCGGCAATGCCTTGGTCTCGGTTTAGGTGGTCTTGACTACAACACTACTAAATACCTTGCAGCGTATTCAAAATGCAGCAGTAAGTTTGAACACATAACCCCTGTTCTTAGTTCCCTGCACTGGCTCCCTGTTAGGTTTAGAGCTGACTTCTCCTACTTACATATAAGGCACTTAATGGTATAGCTCCTGCCTACAGTACCTGACAGAATTACTTCAAGTTTACAAGCTGCGTCGTCCACTCAGGTCACAGAATGCGGGTTTCCTTGTCGTTCCACATATAAACAAAATGAGATTGGGCGCTAAAGCATTCTGCTACAGTGCCCCTATATTGTGGAATGGTTTACCAGCCTTTGTTTGGGATGTCGATTCAGTCTCGGTCTTTAAATTGCGACTGAAGACCCATTACTTCAGTTTAGCTTACCCGCGACCTTACCACACCATAACTATGGCTGTTGGTGCTGCTGTACATGTCATTTTTATCAACTGTGCTTGTCCGTTTATGTGTCAATGCATGTTCTGACCATCCATGCTCTTTGCCTTCCCACATGAGCTAGAGTCCTGGTTCAGTCCCACGGAGGGGTGACATCGCAAATGGGCCATACAAACTATATCATCATGGGTGCAGCCTTCAGTGCCACCCAGCACAGCCCAACATGGAGAAAAGACCTTGGCCACCCTTCACAGGCCAACATGGATAACGGACTCACTGATGGACTTTGCATCCATTCTTAATCCCAGCATATACCTCCCTTTTAGCAAGCATGTCCTAGGGCTGGGCAAAAAATCGATTTCATCGATTTATCGATTTTGTAGTTTAAAACGATTTTTATTTTGCAAAGTCGAGTTTTTTGCCACAATAGTTTTTTCAGACTTTTCCGCGTTTCGTCCTTGTTGGTTACCGTAGCGCGATATGAGCCAGCCCCCGCCCCGCCTAACACAGTCAAAACAACATGGCAGCATGTAGCAGAGAACTACTTCCAAAGAAAGGCACAGGTAATTCCGTAATTTGGAACTGGTTTGGTTTTGATGCAGCAGACGAAACACAGACGAAGCCTTGCTGCAAAATATGTTTCAAGGCTGTTGCTACTGGAAGCAGCAGTACAGCAAATCTTTTCCAGCACCTGAGGAATAAACATCCCGAAGAATGGGAGAAGTGCAGCCAGCTCCGTAGCGAAAACAGCTCCTCTAGCACACCTGCTAAAAAGCAAACTACACTTCCTGAGAGCTTTACAAACTGTGTACCTTATGATAAGAATGGAGCGCGATGGAAAGCGATTACAGAGGCGATCACGTTTTATATTGCCACAGACATGCTGCCAATTTATTCTGTCGAAAAGCGAGGCTTTAATCACATGCTGAAAGTATTAGATGCGAGGTACGTTGTCCCCAGTCGCAAGTATTTCGCCGATGTAGCGTTGCCTCACCTGTACAATACAACTCGGGAAAAGATCCGCAGTGAGCTGGAGGAGATGCAGTTTTACTCAGCCACAATGGACCTGTGGTCCAGCCGGACGATGCAGCCATATCTGAGTCTGACGGTTCACTACATCAACACTAGTTGGACTCTGCGCAGCATCTGCCTTCAGACAGCATATTTCCCCGACAACCACACTGGTGACATAATTGCCCATGGCTTAAAAGCTCCTGGGGACTTTCGGAGGAACGACTCGTCTGCATGACAACTGATAGTGGCACCAACATCATAAAAGCCCTTAAGGGCAACAACTGGCCCAGCTTGCAGTGTTTTGGCCACAGACTCCACAACGCTATAGGTAAGAGTTGGTGTAAGAATAAATAGGTGCACATACTTGCACATTGTAAAGTACTGTTTGCTTATAATTTAATAGCCAGAACATGGTATATATTTCAACTGGTTTACACACATAGACTGGGTTACATAAATAAACCTGACTTTTCCTTAATCTGCATTCATTATACATTATGTATTAAACTGTGTTACAGCTATTAAAATTGTGATAAAAGTACAAAACAATTTTGAAAACTCACGTAATCAAATATATAGTTTAAGCTTGGAGTGACAAAAAATATACTAAATATCTTTTCACATTTATTACAGAGAATGGTGTGAAGGATCCAAGGATCGATCGGGCCATAGGGGTCTGCAAAAAAGCTGTATCAGCCTTCTCCTACAGCTGGAAAAAAAGGCGAGACATGACAGAGGTGCAGGCTGAGCTTGGACTTCCCCAGCATCTTTTGATCTCAGAATCCCCAACACGTTGGGGGTCTCGTCAAAAGATGATTGAGCGCTTTCTTGAGCAAGAGAAGGCAATAACTCGTGTCCTGGGTGCGGACAAGAAAATGCGTCATCTTGTTCCCACGTGGCAAGATTTGGAAGTATTAGAAGCCACCAACAAAGCAGTGAAACCTCTCCAGGACTTCACTGATGCACTGTCAGGGGAATCATATGTCAGTGTGTCATGCATCAAACCAGTGCTGCATTTGATTAAAACAAGTCTCCTCCTGCCAGAGGAGGAAGATTTGGAGCTAACAAAAACAATCAAAGCTAACATCATGCGTTACCTCGAAAGTAAATACTGTGATTTGGAGAAAGAGGAACTTTTGGACATGGCCACACTTTTAGACCCGAGGTTCCGTACAACCTACATTGATGCAAGCAAACTGGAAGTTGTCAAAAAAAGAGCGGTGTCTGAGATCTCTGCTCTCTGCAACTCTACCACAGAGGAAGCTGGTCCCTCAGCTGTTCAAGAGGACACCCCACCAAAAAAGAAAATGACTCTGGGTGCCTTCTTTAAAAACAGTGCACCATCCACCACGCCACACCCACAATCTGAGAAAACAAAAATTGAGACTGAGCTTACAACGTATTTCCTTATTCCAGACATAGAGCCAGACACAGATCCTCTTGAATGGTGGAAGCTGCATCAGCCCAACTTTCCAAGGCTAAGCTTACTGGCTAAAAAATATCTTTCTAATCCAGCCACTAGTGCCCCCTCAGAGAGGGTATTTAGTGTGGGTGGGGGAATAGTTACCTGCAACCGGGCCTGCCTTAAGCCAGAGGTTGTGGACAGGCTCATCTTTCTTGCAAAAAATGTTTAGAATGAGCATGCACAATGTTTCAGAGATCTAACAAGCACGTGTTTTGTTGTTATAGATAAAAGTTTACATTTNATCTTTCTTGCAAAAAATGTTTAGAATGAGCATGCACAATGTTTCAGAGATCTAACAAGCACGTGTTTTGTTGTTATAGATAAAAGTTTACATTTGTTCATTCTTTGAGCAGGCTATATGTCTGCCACAGGCATGTTTCATTTTTTATATTCACACTATACTGAGAAGAGTTTATTTTTTTTAATTGTAATGTTATATGTTACAAAATTTGTAATTATATGATTTCTTGAACAGAAAATTTAAGCTACTGTGAAGCTGTTGCACTTTTGCTTAAACCTGGGTTAAAGCTTGAAATTGTTGAATGACAGAGCCTCATTTACTTTTTGTTTTGGGATTCTACGCATTTTAACTCTTGAGGACAATCATAGCAATAAAGTTGCACTTTTGACACTATATCTGATGTCTGCAGCCATTTTTTAAGTGCATTGGAAAAAAAAATCGAAAATCGAATCGAAACTCAAATTTTTCTTTAAAAATCGAGCCCTAGCATGTCCACTCTTTTCTGTTTTCGGTGATGTTGGTATGCCCAGGGGGGTTGGGCAGCCAGTTGACCTTGGAAGCCCCAGAGGTTTTTTTCTCCCTACTTGGGAGTTTTTGGTTCCTCTCCTCTGTTGTGTTCTGGCTTTGTTTATTCAATTTCTTTCTTTCCTTTTTTCCCCCATTCTGTATCTCCCTCTAGTTCTGTTTTATGTATCACAACACAACCCTGTAAAGCACTTTGGGACAACTTTGTTGTGAAAGGTGCTATATAAAAATAAATTGAATATCAGTCCGCATTCGAGTTTGCTTCCCTAAGTCTGTCATTGAAGTCTTGTGAATTCTAATTGTGTAGTGCTGCCTGTTTTTGCCTGTTCCATGTCCCAGCTCCTTTTTCCCATTAAATCCCGTTTTCCCCGATCTGTCGTGTTCTCTTGCTTCCCTGTTCTGTGCACCCAGCTACGTCATGACAGAGGGGACATTACAAATATAGCCTTAAAGTTTATGATAAACTGCCAAAAACAAGGTAGCAAGATGCAGAAATTAAACTACAATAAGCTATATTTTATGTACAGTATTGTACTGTATTATAGCGTACTTGAATTGTATACAGTTCAGTAATTTAATTTGCACAGTATTGTAATTTGAAAAGCATTTCAATTGTATTTGAATTGAATTGTATTTTGAAAGTCAATAAAATTCAGTAAATAGCGACACTGTCTGTTTTATTACCTTTTATTACACGGCTCTCTGGAATGCTTGATTCTGATTGGTCAGTTGAGACATTTGCAGGTTCGTTCTTTTCAAATAATAACCGCTCCAAAGTAATAACGCATAGCCAGTACTACTTGTATGTTTAAAATCTCTCCGCGCCAACAAAGATTACCGTTTAAAAATGTTAATTTAAAA